GCAATTCTGAATGGGGGTTGTAGGCTACATGGCAATTCTGAATGGGGGTTGTAGGCTACATGGCAATTCTGAATGGGGGTTGTAGGCTACATGGCCTTGGGAAAGCAATTAATTTCCCTGTGTACCTGTGTTAGATAGTATAGTCTGTCACATGGTGCTAAAATGGGTAACATTATTCCTAGTTTAAAACAGAATTAGGAAGGGCAAGGTTATCAAAGATTTAACACCTCAAGGGACACAATCTAAGAGAATGGCAAAGCAGACACTAGGTGCAGATCTTCACTGCCAATGTACCTGGAGCCCTGGCATGCTGAATTGGTAGCTTACTTTTGTATTCATCTTCTGAAAGGGAAGATGCTAATTTTGAATGCTAATTTAGATCTACTTTGCAGAAATACACATAGTTGGAAGTACTAGGAAGCCAAAAATAAGCCAAAACTAAACAGTGTAAAGTCTTTAATTTCTGAAAACCAGAAAACAAAACAAAACAAACAAACAAAACAACCCCAAATGTGCTATGTTTAAATCAGTGGACGTGGATGGAGACAGCTGGGCAAATGTTCTCTTTTTAGTTCCTTAGTTTAAAAAAAAAAAAAGGTGCATATTTACTGTCAATGAGGAAGACTAAAAAGTAATTTAAATTTGTAGTAAGCACACTCTAACTTGATATTTACAAAAAGTAGTTTTTCCTTTCTGATATATATATTTTAACATATCAAGAGATTTAATGGGCCTAAAATTGTAAAATCAGTTTACAATTCCAAAAAGGCTGGCTGCCTTTTGCTACTCTTGCTTTTACACATTTAGGTTTATCCACCAGCTAGCGAAGGATGCTAGAATTTTTTTTTAAAGATTTATTTATTTATGCATACAGAGCTGGGTATGTGCAGGGGTGGTGCGAGGATTCACCCGAGACAGAGTTGGGGGCAGAACAGGCAGGTCCCCAAAGTACAGATGGTTTTAATGGCTCACCTAGAGGGGAGAGAGAAGCTGGCAAAGACAGGAGTGTTGTAGAGAGAGGTTACTGTGCTGAGTTTCTATTTCAAGTCAGGTTGGCTAAGAGAGGTGGGGGAGGGAGTGTCCTGAAATCAGCCGCCTTGTCATTTTCACTGGCCTACTCACTGGATTTACCAGGAACATTTTACGTTATTCCTTTTGCACACCCTAGTGCATGACACTCAGGAGACATTTAGGTTGACTGAAGGGCCCAGCTGCCCCGGGGCTTCTTTCTCACTTGTTTCAAGCATAAAAATTGATTAGGGCAAGACATGATTTATTTAAAACTTTCAATGGTTCTCCTCAAGTTTTCCTCCTTAAGTTCACTTACACCTTGGATGAATTACTTTGATGTAAGAATTGTTAAGAGGTCTGCCTGTTTCTGTTCACCCCAGTGGGAACTCACAATAAATAAAGGCTTGAGGGAAAGTCTCCCAGGAGTCTGGGGGCTTTGGTTTGTAGAAAGCAGCCTCCAGAGAATGGCTGACCAGGGACAGTGCTGAGGGCACTTAAAGAGGAATTTTACGTGTATCAGAGTGTCACCATTACAGATTGTATTTTCCACGTCAATCTAGAGGTTTCTGACAGCACAGCCAATCCAGTGTTTTTGTGAACACCCAACACTTGATAACACATAGAACTGATGATGCTAGCTAGTATGTAGAGGCCACGCCTAGAAGCTATGCTTCTTTCACGTTGCTAATCTGTACTAGATGAGCTGTGTTTCTTGTGTTAAAATTGAATTATTACTGTTCTTTATTTAGAAGAGAGGAAGAGAAACAAAGGAAGTGTGTGCACATCCTAGGAATGCTCTTTTGCCCTCATCCTCTTTGTCAGCAGTATGAGATGTCTAGTGCAGTTTTTCTGGAATTTCTAACATCACAGAACCTTTGGATCCCTCCACCCACTCTTCACCACTACCCTCCCAGGCCAAATGTCTCAATCATACCTTCCTCTCTAGTGGGGAGCACAGACTTTGACCTAATAAGTCCACCACAGGGCCTGACATGTTACCTACCCGCCTTCTTCTGAATATTTATGCCCAAATGCCAGGATGTCGGATGCCCGTCCACTCCCATCACAGACAACCACTGGCACAGGAGGGGTGTCCCGAAGGTACTCCAAGACAATTGAGATCACATTGGGTCCTCCTTCCACAATGAGTGCCACCACTGGAACGCCTTGACCAATTCCTGCATTGAAAAAGGAAAACAAACAAAAAAAAAAAAAAAAAAAGGAAAACAAAACAAAACAAAACACAAAGCCAGCAAACCAAAGAAAGAAAAAGAGAAACAAAAAGCACAAACTAAAATTACTGAGCACAGGGGAGGTAACATATGAAGGGATAAAATTCTGAGCGATAATTTACAGAAAACCCTTAGCAGAATTCCCCTCCACCCCTACCCCAGCATCTGTTTGACTTTGCCTTTTCCAGGAATTCTAAGGTGCTGGGTCAGACGACCACACTTGGGAAGGTGCAAGGATAAGAGGGATAGAAGAGAGGTTGTTAGTAGGTGAAGCACTAGGCCAGCAGTCAAGACTGGAAAGTAAATGTGAGTTCAATCAAGTGTTCCGCATAGCCAGGGTGGTTTTCTCTATGAAAAAACCATGAAAGCAAGCCAATACACCCTGGAGTTGCTGCAGTGCTAAGACAACTAAGGGGCTCTCCTTCTTAAAGACTATCGATGTCAGCCTGAGTCCTACTTTGTGAAGTCAACCATTGCTTGACTTGATTCTTAACAGCCCAGCAGGCACAATAGAGCACCCCGAGACAGCATCTGCCATTATTGTCTCAGCCCAGCGAGAATTCAGCCATGCGATGGGTGGTCAGTTCACATGGGTGGAATTCCACTGAATTAGGGTTTTCACTGACCTTTCATAAAATATTTAAACTCTATATGCTGAGCCATAAAGTACTGCTGTTCTTAAAAGTTGTGCTGACCTTGGACTTAGGTATGATTCAGTGGACACGTTCAGGGAAATATTAAAAATTATGTACATTAAATTCACTTTCAAATGACATCTTAATAACTTCATTGGTCATTGAAAAACCTCTTTTTGTTCAGTTTGATACCACACTTTTTTCTCTCTACCTTCTCAGAATAGTTTGGGAATTGAGCAAAACCATACATAGGAAACAATGTCGTAGGGTACACACTGGTTATCTTAAAGAAGAAATCTATCAAAATTCTGTATCATTCCTGTAAATATGAACTTAAATTCTTAGTCATATCAACTTGCTCTTGTCCTCATTCTGCTTTTGTTTTATCCTACATATAGAAACTGTTTCCATGTTAAGAAAAAAAAAATCCTTTCAGTTCTAGTTTCTTGTCCCATTACTGAATGACTTTGTTGGACTAGTATGTTCCATTTTACTCCTAAAGTATGAGAACAGCAGTAACCTAAACCTTAGCTTTTCTACATCACTGTCATGATTTGAATTAATCTTATAGGAATGGCCAATATGCCAGTTACACAGAAATGGACGCTTTTTCAAAAGTATATTTGAAAAACATATATACTTTTGAAAAAGCAAATACACTTTTGAAAAAGCATAAGAAAATGACTAGGGCTGATCAAGAAAAGCTGCCAAGATTTTTGTTGTTGTTCTCAGATGGAACTAGAGAGAAAAATCAGGAACTAGAGAGAAAAAAATCAAAGTTTTCTGTGCATGGGAAAGTTTTGAGAATTTCTCCTTGAAACCAAGGAGAGGGAGTGAAAGGTCTTGCTCCTTCCCTTTAACCCAGAGGCCCTTAAGGATTCAAACAAAGGTCGCCTTAAAGCTTTGTTTGGGTGTCTATGAAATAGCAAAGGGTGTAGATTATGAAGATTAAGAAAGTTCCTGTTGAAAGGCACTTTGAAGATTAAGGGCTAACTTGAAATGTTATTACAATACTCCTTTATGAGAATAATTTACTAACATAAAAACACCCACCTCTTGACAGATTTGTGCTTTGATAATGTCTTGGGAAAGGGTCTTTCCCAATGTTTAAAATTACTTTATCAGGTTATTTTCCAATATGCTACACAATTTAACTTTTCCTGTTGCTTTCTTTTAGCACCTGCTACCATATTGCATCGCATCAAGGAACACTATGCTCTACCCACTGTTTTATACTAGAAGTCAGATTTAGACTCATTCTTGGTTCCTCTTTAGAAAGACCTTGGCTAAATTTTGATTGAGCACTGCTATCAGTGGGCTTTTTACTACAACTTAAAGGCAAATTGTGTTCCACTCTGTTTTCATGGAAGGAGAAGGTCTAGAACAGATCTTCTAGAATGTACCAGTGATCTAGATTCTATCAGACACTTGTCAAGATGACTACAAATCTCTGTTCTCTTTGAGAAGGATATATAGAGGTAAAGGATCAATTTTCATGGGACGATTTGAGAGCAGAAAAGTGTTAGTTGATTTACTGCCAATGTATTTGTCAAATGTTCAAACTGCTACAGCCTCAAAAATACAGAAGAATTTAGATAATCATACTTGCTGTATCTGGAATAATGCTGTTAACAATTAAAATGATCAAAACACTATATTGATTCACATACATATAAATATGAATTTGTGTATATATATTCCCGTGCTAAAAATGAGATGCAGCAGTATATTATCATCTACTTTTTTCATAAATATTGAATATATCGAGTATATTTTTGGCCTCAAATTGTCTCATTTCCTTCAGTGATAATATGTGGAAATTACTTCCATCAATAATAAAAGTACTTGTAGCCTAAACTAAAAACACATTTTAATATCTTAGTTAGAGATGGTAGAAAATCATGCTTTGTATGAAAATCATGCTTCGTATAAATCCAGTGTGCCAGTATGTGGTCACATTAAGCCTTTCTGTCAGGGTGCATATGCACAATGCCTTTGTTTCTGAGAAAAGAAAAATGCTATCTAATAGGCTAAAAGAGCCCACTTTGGCATTAAGGATCTTTGAATACTTCTGTGACTCTAATGAAAACTACTGACCCTTTCTCCAGAAAAATAAATTTAGAAATGGGTAGGCACAAAAATCTTTAAATTTTTATTATGCAAGGGGTTCATGGACCCTTGAGGGTTAATCCTGAAAAACTTGCCAATGAACCTTTACAAAACCCCACCCTCCATTAAGTACAGATGATGTATTTGCAAAACACATTGTAATTTTCTTTCTTTATTTCTTTCTAGATTTATTTATTTGTTTATACAGAACTGAGGTGCAGTCCAGAGGCTCAGGGGAGGCAAGAAGCTTCACCAGAGATAGAGTGGGGAGCAGAACAGGCAGATCGACAAAGGACACTGCTGAGGGGAGCAGCGGGCGGGTCTGGAGAGGTCTGCCATGCCATGTGGTCACCTGCGGGGCAGGCGGGAATCAAACTCATGCAGAAGGGGCTTTTAGCTTCTTAGTGTGGTGCTTTAACCCACGGTGCCACCAGGAAGGACGATAATTTTCTTTCTTTCTTTCTTTTTTTTTTTTTTTTTAAATGACACTCATTGGAGCTTCTGAGAGAATTTTCAGATTGGGTGCTGGAACAAAGCTCTGCCCAGCAGTGTTGGATCACATGATCACTGCTCCACTGTAATGGATTCCCTGAGTCTTCCAGGGGAAGGAGTGCCTGTCCCTCACACCACTCTTCCTTGCTTTTCTTAATTTCATCTATTCACACTTTCTTTTCTAAGTTACATTTAGGATATGATTTTAATAAACTCTGGAAAAAGCCACACACTTACAAAGTAGAACCTATAATAATAATCCTTTTAAAAACATCAAAAATGTTACTTTTAAAATGACTAACATAAAATAATTTGGGAATTAACTGCATATTCAGCAGGACTCAGAAAATGCTACCATTTTCTTTATGCCCATAAAAAAATTAATAAAATTCTTTTGAAGAACCTCACAAATTTCTCTCTCTATGTCTATCACTATTACTCTCTCTCTTTCTCACTAGGTTTTAAATTCATGTGTTTTAAAAAAATTAACTCTTCTTCAGGACAAAAAGAATCATTTTATTGAGATTCTCTCAGGGACCAAAAGAGAAAAGTAGGTTAATTCCCTCATTGGCTGCAATAATTGTTAAATTGAAGTAACATTGCATTTTAATATAAGTTTCAGGTGTGCATCATTAAAAATCAGCATGTGCATATGCTACATTAAGTTCACCACTAAAAGTCCTCCCTCCCCTTCCCTCTGGTAACCACTAATAGGTCTTAATAGTCTAAAAGTTTGTTTTCATCTTAGGCGTCCCCTTTGTTTTCTCTATATATCACAAAATGATGGCTGCAATAATTTTTCATTGGTTCCCATAACCAAAGACGTACAATTGTTCTCAGAGATTTCTGTTACAATTTAACTTTAGAGTAAGGTAAAGGTGCCTGAGCAAGAATCGGCAATATGCTTGCCATACTCTTTAACTTTTGCCATTTGGAAACTGGAAGCATGATAGCCTTTAAAAATGTAAACTCAGATTTAGCAGTCCCATCTTTAAGATTCTAGGTCAGCGTAGGACTTTCACATTACAAGCTGAATCTCAATGAATTGTTCTTAGGAGAAAAAAAAGTCTCAGGGACTTTGGTCATTTTTTCTGAGTGCTGTGATAAGACAAACACCAAATCCCAGTAAATCAAAATTGGCTTAAGTACATTGGGTTGAATATTGTAAGCAAGGAATCTGGCAGGAATAGAAAAATGTATTAAAATTGCAGAAGGCATCATTATTATATTTTTCTTCCTGCTGACATAATCTATGGCCATAGGCCATAATCTATGATTCATTCAGACCCCATGAAAGCATTTGGTGTTTTGTAGTGAAAAGCCTGGATGATAGAGATTTGATCGAATTAATAATTTGGGTTTACATAAATATTTCTATACATGCTCTCAAATGTCTATGAACCTAAGACTAGTTTGCTATTGGAAAGTGGTTCCTCTTTAGTTGGAGATAGAACACAGAAGATTTATCTTTAGCTACGACTTCTCTAGGTTATAGTATGATTGTTACTGTACAGATTGTTAGGAGGTTGGGAACTTTGTGAGAGATGACTTCCTGAAGATCTTGAGCAATTCAAGACTGAGCCTGTCAGTGGTCAGTGGACATTTCTATTTTTCAGCTAATATCAGGTAGTAATATCATGAACATTGTTAATTCACTGTACATAATCCCGCTGTGGGATTATGCAATTCATTTTTATGGAGAATTTCTAT